CCTGTCAATAAAATAACATTTAAATAAATCACACAAGGGAACTTGAGTATTGGGATGGAGATTTTCTTGGAAGGAAATTATAATTTTTTAAGATCTATTTTGACAGCAAAGAAAGATCCCATTTGAAATTTTCCTCTTACTTCACCCTCCTGGTTCCTTTTCAAAAGCACTAATAGGAAAAAGGGAAATTATTAATAAAGGAACTAATTCTGACAAATGTTAGAGTAATATACTTTCCAGAATATTCCTCATTCTTCCAGAAAGAAAGGACTGGGATTTCATAGAAATAATTCCTTTAAAATGAAAGCAAAAATCATACTGTTTTTTTAAGTATGCAAAACATGTACATAAATACAAACTGGTCTCAGATTATCCTTCGGATATCCATTTCTTTCTTCTGAAACTTAAAAATCCTTGAATTGTTTTCTTTTGGACCCATTTCAAGAATAGCATTAGGGGTGATTTTTGGTGTTTGTACCAAGAAGAAAATGATCCATTCCATCGGTGTGTGATGTTATTACAGACATTTTCTATTTTAATCTTACTCATCTTAATTAAGGAACTGCCTTCCTCCCAGCATGGTAGGACTTAGGAGCACGGCAAACTCCTACCACCTAGTGGAAGAACTGTCCACTCTTTAAATCTGCCTCCGAGTTTGGAACACATTCGTTGTTGGTCAGTAGACACATACACTTTCAAAAGTGTTCTTTTAAGGGAATGAGCTGCTAACACATGATTAATCAATGAAAACTTGCATAACTTCAGCCCTGCTATCATTTCTGGGTAGACAGCGGTGACTGAGCAACAGGAATCTTCTTTCCTGGGCAGCACTTGTTTCTCTTTGTGCATTTGTTTAGTGTTCCTAACCTCAAGGTCTAGGCGTGCGTGGGTGCCACTGGGCACAATCTTCACCTCCTGCATGTAGCAAGTGTGACAGATTCACATCCAGCGCTGTGGATGTTGGCCCTTCACTCTGAGAAGGAGTCGCATGTCTTCCCTTCCCTCCAGCCTCACACAGGGTCCCCTTTTTTGAGCACATTTGAGGTTATGTTTTTATCCTAAATGGACAGTAATGTGATATTTACTCACAGGTATGAATTTTTCAGTGCTTTGTTTAGTGTGCTGGCCTCTTGGCCTTAGAAATGGTGCACTGGTGGCCAATGCATTGGCCCATCTAGCCAATCCTCTACCTCCAAGCACTGGGATCCCATATGGGTGCCGGTTCGTGTCCCAGATGCTCCACTTTTCATCCAGCTCCCTGCCTGTAGCCTGGGAAAGCAGTTGAGGAAGGTCCAAAGCTTTGGGACCCTGCACCCATATGGGAGACCTAGAAGAGGCTCCTGACTCCTAACAGATCAGTTTAGCTCAAGCCATTGCAGCCACTTGAGGAGTGAACCAGCAGATGGAAGCTCTTTATCCCTGTCTCTCCTTCTATCTGTAAAACTGCTCTTCCAATAAAAATTAAATAAATCTTTTTAAAAAATAAAAGAAGGGATGGATTAAGGATCTGACTGGAACAATAGAGAAGGGAAAGAAAAGAGGAAGGAGTCAAAAGGTCAAGACACAATACAATAAAATGTAAGTATTCAGCAAGAATATTTTTTAGGTAATATGGATATAGACACATAATGTGTTTATACTTTTTTATTGCTCAGAGGAGCCATCATGCCATCATCCATAAAATTATCTTGATTACGAAGACAGAGTCCTTGGTTAAATAAAACTCTGAAATGGCACAAAAATGGTAGAATTTCTGATCCTAGCACAAAAAAATTAAATCCATGAATAGGTTGATATGGAGTCAATAAATGTCAAGAAAGAGACATGGGACCAGGGCCCGGCAGTGTGGCCTAGCAGCTAAAATCCTCGCCCTGAACGCACCGGGATCCCATATGGGCGCCGGTTCTAATCCCGGCAGCTCCACTTCCCATCCAGCTCCCTGCTTGTGGCCTGAGAAAGCAGTCGAGGACGGCCCAAAGCTTTGGGACCCTGCACCTGTGTGGGATACCTGGAAGAAGTTCCTGGATCCTGGCTTCTGATCGGCATAGCATCAGCCGTTGCACTCACTTGGGGAGTGAATCATCGGATGGAAGGTCTTACTCTCTGTCTCTCCTCCTCTCTGTATATTTGACTTTCCAATAAATAAATATTAAAAAAAGAGAGAGAGAGAGAGAGAGACATGGGGCCAGCATAGTGGCAAAACAAGATAAAAGCACCTGCCTGCAGTGCCAGCATCCTGTAGGGCCACCACCTTTGTCCTGGCTGCTCCCTGCTTATTGACTGGGAATACAGCAGAGGATGGCTCAAGTTCTTGGGCCCCCACACCCATGTGGGAGGTCTAGAAATAGCTCCTGGCTCCTGGCTTCAGACTGGCCCAGCTCTGGCCATTGTGATCACTTGAGGGTAAACCAGCAAATTGAAAGTCTCTCTTCCTGTAACTCTGATTTCCCAATTAAAAAAAAAAAGAAATATAATCAATCAAGATCTAACTAAAGGTGATGGCCATGATCATTAAGATTACAAAGATACTAGGAAAGTTTACAAACTATTCAGATATCGAACACATCTTGTAAAGAGGAACTGCTAAGCACATCGTATAAGAGGAGACGATTATGAGAACGAGTGTGAATGTAATTTGGACCACAAAAATCCTGGGAGAGTTGGCAAACCATCCACTGCTTAGCTTGGTCTCCTCAAATTAAGTTAGTCCTGGCTTTGGATCTACTTAGCTCTGGCTGTTGTGGCCCCTTGGGGAGTGAACCAACAGACGGAAGATCTCTGTCTCTCCTTGCTGTATATCTGACTTTCCAATAAAAATAAATGAATATTTTAAAATTAATTTGTAGTCCCTAAGTGAAATTTATAGGAACTTAGAAAAGTTGAGCCTGACTTATCAATATTAAAGAGAGAGAAAGAATAGGAGCCTAACCTGGTTCTGCAAATATTTAAAATCATTTTATGGCATGAGAACCCAGATAATTTTAGCATTTGAGAAGCTATGATTAAAGTATTAATCATTTTTTTCACTTATTTGCTCTGCTCCATTTGTTCATCAGACAATAAATTCTCTGCAACAGCAGCATGCCACATTCAGACAAAAATAATAAGCTTCTTACAATTTCTGTCTTTGAGGATGCATGCATGAATAATGAATCAGGTTTCAACATTTAAAAGAGACCTGAGAGTTAAAGAAGACCAAGGAAAAAAGAAAAAGTGGGGTCATGGCTTCCCTCGCCTGAATTCAGCTTTGTTCTCTCAGCCTACTCATCCTTCACCTTGTTGATGCGTGGAAAAATTCCAGATGCCTCATTCCCACTGGGTGGCGCATTGCCACAAAAACAATGTATAAATAGTTGATTCTTTTTTGAAGATTATAATATATTTTTATTTGGATAGTTAGATTTACTGAAAGAGGAGAGACAGAGAGAAAGAATTTCCATCTAAGAAGATCTGAAGCCAGGAGCCAGGAACTGAGCAGATCCGAAACCAGGAGCTGAGCAGATCCGAAGCCAGGAGCCAAGGGCTTCTTCCAGGTCTCCCACACAGGTGCTGGGACCCAAGGCCTTAGGCAGCCCTCAACTGCTTTCCCAGGCCACAAGCAGGGAACTGGATGGGAAGTAGAGAAACCGGGATACGAGCCAGCACCCATATTGGATTCCAGCATACGCAAGGCGAGGACTTTAGCCACTAGGCCACCATGCCAGGCCCAATAGTTGATACTTTTAAACACACTGAATACAAGCGGTTCATTTATGAACCCAATACCAAGCGCTGTTATAACCAGAGTATTCCAGGATGGAATTGTCAGAGGCATTTCCTTTTGACAGTCTGTGCAATACACACAAAATAGTGCAGATCCGAAAAGATGAAGATGATTGAATAGTCACCACTGCATGCTGTAAAGCTCACACGTTTCCTGGGTAGAAGATCTCTATTACTGAGCATGAAACAAACTCGCTGTGGTAGTGGCATGTCGAGAAAGCATCACAGAGCAAGCAGGAAGGGAAAAACCGGCTTGGTCCTGCTATTGTTTTGTTTTGCCTCGCAGAGTTATTTCATCAGACCATCTCAGATTAAAGTTTAGATAAAAACAAAAAAAAGAAGAAGTTCTGCATGGTATCCATCAATTTTAAGGAAAAGATTATATAGCATTAATTGTTTTTTGAGTGTGAAACTAAGGAAAATGTCTTTTGTTTATTAACCATATAGTGATATAAAATGTTTGTATGCAGGTATGTGCTTAATTTTCAGGTCAAGCCGAATATCTTTCATTAACTGGAAAGGACAAAATTGGGCCCAGCACAATGGCTCAGTGACTAAATCCTCACCTTGCATACACCGGGATTCCATATGGGTGCCGGTTCGTGTGCTGGCTACTCCAGCTCCCTGCCTGTGGCCTGGGAAAGCAGTCGAGGACCTCCCAAAGCTTTGAGACCTGGAAGAAGCTTCTGGCTTCAGATCAGCTAACCTTCTGTCATAGTGACCACTTGAGGAGTGAACCAGTGGACAGAAGCTCTTTCTCTGTCTCTCCTCTGTGTAAATCTGACCTTCCAATAAAAATAAATAAATCTTTTTTAAAAAAAAAACTAAAAAAGAAAAGGATTATAGTACATTCTTCAATCGACTTGCACGATATATAATAAATAAAAGATTTTTCTATGACTCACATGTTTCCTAAATTTACATATTTATCACTATATCTTTGTCCTGTATACCTTGCTTGTTGTACTAAAACAAAGCAGGTTTCAAGTATTCCAAATGCATCCTGTCCTACAAACACCACAGCCCTATCAGACTTTTTCCAAGCCAACCAGTAGGCTCCTGAAGGATTTACATATAACTTTTCATCTCCTTTATCGCGTCTCTGAGTACACTGATTTACAGTAATGCTTAGTAAACACTGCTTGAATTAAAAACTCAGTCTTTCTCTTTTGACCTTTGGCTCCACCTCACACACAAAACTACTACTCACATTTGCACACAAATCAATATGAAATCAGTTGCCTGAATGCTCTTTTATTGAAAAAGTGAACACCTGGTTCTCTGATGGATGAATTCTGGGGCTTTGGCAGGAATTTGCCAAGGAGTATGAGGCATCGCAATGGCACAGTGACCCTCCCCCGTTTGTAAGAAAGCTGCATATGCACGGTTAAATGCTCTTACTCTCTGAGGATTCTCCATGTGAGCCACACCGCTGTCACCCCATGATAGCTGAAGCATGTCCCCCCAGAAGATGAGGCTGCGCTAAGGTCACCCCTTTCCAGCTCCTCTTCCCCAACCCGCTGGGCGTGGAGTTGCACCCTTCCATGCTTGCCACACATAAGACCCAGGTCACGTTTCTGTTCAGACAAATATGTTGCCTGGAAGAAGCGACTTTCTCAGGCCTGAGGTGTCAGCAGTCCTTCTTGCAAAATCATTTCTTCTTCAGTCCTGGGCCGAGTCCAGTTGGTTGAGCCGCTGGACAATCATGTTGTTGATTTTCTTCAGATCATCTATGTCCCTTCCCTCAGCTGTTAGTCTCCTTGACACATCATCCATCCTGTGTCCGGTCTGAACTACAATGCGGAAAACAGACAAATGTTATCTCAGTTTCCAGTGAGTTCCCCTGGGGGACATCAGAGCCTTAGTGGGCATCTAAGCACTGAAAGACACTCTTGCCCAATCCCTGGCTACTAGAAACCCAAGGGAGAAGCGAGTAGAGACTGATACTGCCTAGCAAGGGAAGTATTTTTACCACCTGTTGATGCAGCCTTTGGCTGAGAAACTGCTGTGAGTGGTCACAGGAAACTGCCAGCATGTCTGATGACCTCACCAGAAGCAACGATGCTACACCCGTTCTCAGAAACAGCTTTCAGTCCTTGAGCTCCAGCCTATCGGCTCTGAATTGCCAGTGCCTAATGAATGTGTAGTGACCCCCTCAGACCACTCCTAAGTCCAGAGGCACAATATTTTCCGAACACACAGAATCTTCGGTATTACAGTTAAGCAAGGCAATGGACCATTCGGATGCTGCCCGCTTACCAGAGTTAAACTCTCCAAGAACCACTATACAAAACCATTGCTTTCTATTGGAGTTCCTTCTCATGTCTATTTCTAGCTTTCTTTCAAAGCTTTTCATAGGAGCTTACAGAGTTGGTCACAGGCTGCTGGGCTCAGCTGATAAGCAGGTTCTCCCTCAAATGATATCGGATGAAATCTGGTCCCAAGACATGAGTGTTGGACTCAGTGCTAGGCAGAAGTAAAACTTGCTTCTGGGGGAAAAGTGTGAAGCTGATGATATCTGTAAGAGATGACATCATTTCTCCCCTAGCTGGAATCTCCCTGCGGCAAGAACACCGACTCAGGCAGTCTGAAGTCAGGAAAGGGCAGATGAAATGACAGCATGTTAAATCCAGGCAAAAGCATCAGAACAATTCCTGATGATGGGCTACAGGGTTCAGTGAGAACTGGTGGGATTGGTTTGGGAAGGAACCACATGCAGCAGGAGCAGACAGTATCTGCCCTGGGGAGAAAGGAGGTCCCAGAGCTCAGCGGATCGCCAGGCTGAGGAGCTGATGTGAGCAAGGCTTGGCCTGGTGCAAGACTACAGGTGCACACACTGATTTCTGGGGTGATGCACAAGTGAGAAAACCTAAGATGGAGTTAGAAACATAAATGTGACCTTGCACTACAAACTTGGAGTTGATGGTGAAATGTATGGACTAGACAAAGGGAGCAAGAACACAAGTTTGCTCCTTATGCCCTTGGGAATAGTAGAGAATCTCTCACAGGGGACTCCTACACTGGCCCCTACCCATCTCTGCATTCCCTTGTCCCCAGGGGACAAGACCTACCAAGGTTGAAATTCCTCTGAAAAGCTGGTCCCAACAACTCCTCCATTAACTTGAAATTCCCCCACTCCTAGTAACAGCCCCCAAGACCCCATATTATAAAAAGCCCAGCCTGGGCCTGGCGTGAGAGCCTAGCAGCTAAAATCCTCACCTTGTACAAGCTGGAATCCCATATAGGCACTGGTTCTAATCCCTGAGGCCCTGCTTCCCATCCAGCTCCCTGCTTGTGGCCTGAGAAAGCAGTTGAGGCCTTGGGACTCTGAACCTGCAGCAGAAGAGGTTACGGAATCCTGGCTTCAGATTGGCTTAGCTTCAGCCGTCACAGTCACTTGGGAACTGAATCAACAGATGGAAGATCTTCCTCTCTGTTTCTTCTCCTCTCTGTATATCTGACTTTCCAACAAAAATACACAAATCTTAAACAAACAAACAAAAGAAAAAAGCCCAGCCTGCTGAAGAACTGGGCCTAGTCATGTGGTCACTCCATCCTCAGCCAGGCCAATAGCCACCCTCTTTGACATGCAACTTGGCTGTGAGTTCACTTCCCATTTCTCCCTCTGTTTTTGCAGCTCTCTCCCAACATTGGCTCCCCCACTTTCTGTGCTATTCTCTAACACTAGATAAAAAAAGGTTGGGAAAAGAAAAGAAAAGAAAAAGCAAGCAAGCCTAGGAGTAATGGAAACCAGGTGCCTACCATTGGCAGCTTGGGCTGCAAATGGGAAATAAAGTGTTTCAGAATTGTTTAGTAAACATGGTGCTGATCACCAGCACTGTGCACTGAACGCAGTGGGCTTGCTCCCAGAAACCCTGTCCCTGAGCAGTGGAGCTTACTCGAGTGTTGCTTTTGCCCCTTTGTTGCTCTCACAGTAAGCATGGACTGCCCATGATACGGTCAGGCAGCTAGTTCAGGGTCAGGAGTTTGGAAGCCACATCTTCCCCTCCTATATAATTCTTTCTGTCCACCTGTGAGTCAAAGGATGCTTACCCATCATTCCCTGGAACCTGAGGGGGCAGTATTGTATAAACACTCCCCTTAATGTATAGTAGTAACTATGTAATGGAGACTATCATATCTAGGTATGAGGATACAATACAGTTATCCATCTCTAATTCTAGTTCTAAGATGGACTCCCAATGAAACTGCTAACTGTATCTTGACAATAGAATGCTGGACTCTCTGCCATTGCAAATGCCCACAGTGATGGATATATGACTATTTATGAAGAACTATACTATAGTAATAATATAGGGGAACTCAGTGTGGGGTTGAGGGGACTTGGGGAGGGGGTAAGAAAAATCCTAGGGCCTATGAAACTTTATCATAAAGTTATAATAATAATAACAAAGAAGTAAAAAACCCTCCCCTTAAAGCCTGTTAAAAGCCCTGCCGAGGAGGGGCTGGGTGCCTCATCATTGGCTCCTGCTTCTTGGCTTCTGTCCTCGCTCCATGTCTTGCTTCCTGCAGACAGACTCCAGGGAGAGAAGGCAGCAATACCTCTCAGCCTTACTCTTCCTGGCTCACTCTTCCTGAACTCGGCCCAAGTATGTCTGTATTCCTCGCCCTTTGCTTAAACTGTGTTGGTACCTGCCTTTAAAATGCTCTTTAAGTAAAAAGGCAGGAGCCTAGGAAATAAATGTTTGACCCAAAAATTAGACCACAGCACCAGGAGTCAGGGACACATTCCAGGAGCCAAGTTGAACCACGAGCTAGTAAGTGATGACGGCTCAGCCAGTGCTACTTACTGATTAGAAAGATGGCAAAGGAGACCAGAGCCAGGCTGACCGTCAGCAGGATCAGCAGCCCCACGAAAAGCAGACTGCGGCTTCCATGTCCTGAGCTTGTGCCAAGCTCTGGGATCTTCTCCTCTAGAGCTAACAGGAAACACACAGAAGACAGAGGTAAACTCAGCACACAATTCAACAACAGATGTGAGCAGTAATAGCAGCCCCCTGTCGGCCTTTAACCTAGACACACTCGGTGTCCCTCTGGCATGCCTGAGATGTCCTTAGAATGCCATCGGGCCAGGGATAATTTGTGATTTCTTTGCTTTCTTCTACACTGGTATGCGAAGAACCAGCAGGCTAAGCCAGTCCCAAGTTCCTTGAAGGCTGTGTCAGCACGGCAGGAACAAGGAATGGGTTTTTCCTGGGAAAGGAAATGAAGAAGTTGAAGGCTGAACATCTCCGGGGAACCCATTGTCTTTCAGGAACGATCAGCTGTGCCTGCATCCATTTAAACACAAGCGGCCCTGCTTCCTCCTGCAGCTGCTTCCATGATGGGCGGGCTTTCGAGGCAAGGTTCTTGTCAGGGTTTTGACATCGAACAGAGGCTACAGCCTTGCTCAGAAAGCCCAACCCATGACTTGTCTGACATTACTCACCATTTCTAAGGTCTAGGGGCTTTGTAATACCTCGCTTAAAATGAAGAAGAAATGGAGAAATGTGGAGGGAGTGGAGCTGACTTCCTCATGCTCTCCCACTTCTGTCTCACCGTGCTGCTTCATTATGGGCAGATAGCTCAGTGGTTAGGGCCCAGACCTCATAACATCCTACAGCAAGCCCCTCAATAGCTTTTGTTCCCAATCAAAAATCAACAGAGCCTGAGACTCAAACATTCATTTTATTGTGACTGCCTGCAATAAAGACAGAGGAAAATCTGAACCCATTAAAATGAAAATGAAAGAAATCATGTCTAAAGGATTTAAAAGGGGAGATGATAGATATTAAAACCAGGACAATGCGCTTAGCTGGAATGCATATGAAACAGATGACAAGTAGGCAATTAACACCTGTGTTTGGGTGCTCGCGTGCGAGTTGGCAAAGTCAGGGCTCAGACAGAACTCACAATGAGGCGGCAAGACAGGCAGAGCCCCCGCAGCCCTTCTCCTAACCCTTTACTGGGGAATTGTACTTCACACAGAAAACAAATGTGACTTTGCTGCCCAACATCATTTAAATTCCCTTCAAAAAAAAATCTGGGTGAATAAATGTTTAGCCTGTGCTGTGAAGCAAGGCGGAAAACGGGCCCCATCACCTTTCCAGGAACTTAAACGCTCAGCATTCCTGATGACACAAGTTCAAATGTTAATATAAGGCCCATAATCCTGCCAGGTCTTCAGAGGACAGAAGCAAGAGGCCCCTAACAAACCGACACGCCACACCAAGCTGTCCCAAGCGGCTGCCGGGCACAGGCACTCGTCCATGCCAGCCTCGGCTCTGGCCAGGCGGTGGCACACATACACATACGTACGGAACAGATGCTGCGATTCAGCCGGACAGAGATTCAGTTTGTTTAAGTCATTTATGGAATCAACGATATAAAGCTTCCTGGCTTCGGGGACCTCGTGAGAGCCAGTGTCCTGAGAGGCGTGACTCATTGTTCCTGCAAGAAAGTACCAATGTTGAAAACCAGAGCCTGTTTAGGCAGAAGAAAGCTCTCTCTTTCCTATTTCTGCTTTCCAAATAAATAAATAGTTAAAGCAGGGGAAAAAATCCAGCAACAAAAGAACCAACCAGAGGGGCTGGCAGTTGTGTAACAGCCTAATCCTCTAGTCGCAGCTCCAGCACCCCATATGGGCACTGGTTCATATCCCCAGCTGCTCCACTTTCCCTCCAGCTTCCTGCTTGTGGCTGGGGAAACCACAGAGGGGTGGCCCAAGAGCCAGCCTGACTGAAACTGACTCGGTGCTAAACGGGTACATGATCACGTGGCCCTCAAATCAAGATCCATGCTGTTTTGACACCCAGCCGTTGCTGCCTTTGACATCTGAAGGCACCCAACCAGGCTCCCTCCGCCTGGGTGCTCTACGGACGGGACACCACCCCAAACCCCTCCTGCCCACTGCAGCGTGCGCACCGAGAGGACAAACCCTCACCCTTTCAGATGGCGTGGGCCACCGCACGCCATGGGCCACTGTTGTTCATCACAGCTAATACTCAACCCTTCTTCCCATGTAAATAATAAGCCATACAGAAATATTCCAGCAAATAAAGATAAATGTCTGTGAAAAACTGCTCAGCGCTCCCCCCACCCCTCGCAGGTGTCTGGTATCAAACCACAGAAATACCTCCCACCTGTGTCGCTTGCCACGCAATCACAAGAGCTGTAATAGGACATCATTGAAAGCTAACAAGCAGCTTTATTGAGTGAGTCAGGGTAATTTGTTCTTTAATTCCATTTCCGAGCCAGGGCCTCTTCACATTCAGGCATTTTAAAAAATGGAATACAAATTGTTTCTATCAGAAGTTAAACGCACAGACACAGGCAATAAAAGAGTCCCAGACTCAAAAATGATAATTCAGTCTCCTTAGACTAATAGCATGCAAATTACTTACCCTGCCAAAAAACCCCCGAGAGCCTTGGCTGCTGGGTCACCGAGGAAAACCCCACGAGAATGCAACCAAACTTGCTACCGACCCTCGTTACCTTCCTTCAGCAGCCTGCGCTGCGAGGAGGCCCTGAAGCCCCAGCGTGAAGCCGTACGTCTATATTTAGTGTTAACACAGCCACGCAGTGTAGGATTCCAAATACCAGCTTCTCTTGCGCTGTCTGAAGTGTCCAGGAAATATCACTCCCAATCTACGCTTTGAACAAACAGCCGAGGGGAGCGCCCTGTCTGATTGAGTCGGTCTCCCACGAGGTACTTATTGGGCTGCAGTTAGTGCCCTTATAGGGCTAACGGGACTGGGAGCCAACAGACTGGCAGCGTTTCTGCGGCGACACGCTTCCATATAAGAACGTCCTGCAGCAGCAGGAGACTCCAGACCAATCAGGGAAGGCAATCAACAGGGACGGAATGTGGTTGTGACATTGTAAGCAGCATGCTAGCAAGAAGCTCCCGGGGGGCTCCCAGAAGCTAGAGAAAGCAAATTAAGCGTGGGGCTGCATGGGAAAGGCAACGCTGCAGCTCCTTTGGTGGAGCTGGCTTTCTGTGGTGGTCTGTGTTCCTCCCACACCCCAGGAATATCAGCATTTCCTCGTGCGCATGCCGAAGGAGCTTCTGCCCTCTAGCGGAAGCAAAGGATGCTGCAGGGGTGGGAAGCTCAGCCACCCGAGCAAAACCCCAGAACCCGGATCCCAGGGCTGCTGAAGGTGTGGTCCTTTACAATCTCACCTTGTGGTGCCAAGCCTAGATGCGCCCGAACCATCCTAGAAGTGGTTTGGACACCAGTTTGAGACCCAGCTGTTCCTGCTTGCAATCCAGTCCCCTGTTACTGGCCTGGGGAAAGCAGTGGAGGCTGAACTAAGTAAGGCCTTAGGCCCTACCCTTGTGTTCCTGGCTCCTGGCTTCAAAATGGCTCAGTCCCACAGTGACCATCTGGGGCCAGCGGGTGGAAGATCTTTCACTTTCTATATCTCCCTCTCTTTGTAACTCTGCATTTCAGATAGACAAATCTTTAAGAAAAACGACAACAAAATGAGCTCTGCCAAATTTCCTGTGCACCTGTATTCTGTATAAAGTTCACTCGGTTTTTAAGGAAAATGACTTTCATTTTCCTAAGCTTCATCTACACCCAAGGCTGTCGTTCGCACTGTAACTGTTTTCCCAGAAACATTATATTTGACAGCTAAGCTGAATTCCTCTGAAAAATGGAAGTCATATCCTTTTATCATGTCCAGTTTTAAAAATTTCCCAACTGCCTGTTCTCTCTTAAGCCATCTATCCTTTGAAAAAAGATAACTGCCTCACTTTGGAGTATTTGCTATGCGTTTTACCTTCCTCCCGACCCGACCCTCTCCCCGATGAGGAAAATAGACATGGGTTTGATTCCACGTGCCACTTCTGATCCAGCTACCCAGGAGGTTGCACCCTGGAAGGCAGCTCAAGAACCTGGGTCCCTTGCCCTCAGTGTGGGACACCAGGATGGAGTTCCAGCTTCGGGCCTCAGCCTAGCTCAGCCCCCCACCATTGTGAGCATTTGAGAGTGAACTAGCAAATACAAGTTTGTTCTCTCTCTCTCAAATAAGTTCAAATGAAAAGTTCCCAAACAGAAAATGGGAATGAATGCATTTGTCAGAGGCAATGGGTTCTAAGAGGCAAACATAAGACTTACATCCAAACCTCACATCAAAAGCTGAATCCCACTACACCAACCCAAGCAGAGGATGAGCCTGACTTCAGCCCAGGTAGGTTTCACAGATCTGTAACAGCCTGCTTCACTTTATCTGTTGTGAGACACAAGAAGAATTTCCAAGGATTTCATGCTTGCTCTTCAAAGTCTGGTACCTCAAGGTGACCAGACTGAATTCCCAGGAAATGCAGTAAATGCCAGCAAAGGGCTGTCACAGATATTGTCTGCTTCAAAATTAAAGCTTCAAAGAACTGGGCTGGGACCACATTGTTCAAGTGAGCAAGATTAACCACAGATCAAGCACCCCGTCATACAGCAAGATGCCAAATCCCCAATAACCTCAAACCCAGCAATTACTCATTCACCCATGTTGTTCCCTCCTCTTCCCAGAACCTCAAAAAGGGGCAAGATGGCAATAAAAATCCCAAAAGCACAAGAATGAACACAGGAAGCAATGCTGACGACCTGGGTGTGGGGGGAGCAAGGAGGTAACAGTGACCCCACTCCACCAGGACCCTACCTGGGAAATGAACTGACAGTCTACAGGCAGATTCAAGCCTTGCAAACACAAGTGACAAGGAACTGAATCCAGGCAGGTCATTTAAGGTTAGCCAGAAATAAAATCCATGAGAAACACTGGGAAATCATGCTAAGGAAATGTCCCAGAAACGAACTGATTAGGAAAAACATGTCAGGCTCGATTCAGTCCAGAATATCTCGTGGGTCAAGAACCTGAGTTTTCCAGGGAGCAGGTCTTCAGCCTAACCATTAGCAGACTGCCCGAGTTTAACTTCCTGGATCCAGCTCCTGACACCAGCTTCCGCCAGCTAGACCCTGGATGTACCAGAAACAGCGCAAGGAACTGGGCTCCCACTACCTACATGGAGCTCCTGGCTTCACCCTGCTCATTGTGTGCACTGAGAACAGTGAACCAGCAGATGGGGGCATGCGCTCAAACAATCCCACCAAAACACGCTATCACACACTCAACATACTACAAAGAGATTCTGAGAATAAATGACAAAAATCACAGATGCAACATTCCACTGATGAGCAGAATGATGACGTTACACCTTTAGAATTCCTTTTAAAAATTCCTACCCAAAAATCTATAAGCAGAATGACCTCTTTGACACCTGCTCCCACAAAACCACTGAAGGAAGTTCTCCACGTTAACAAGGCAATGTGCTAATTAATTATCCAGAAAACATGAAATCCAGTTCAAGAAATCCTCAAAATGACAGAGTTTTCTTTAGAAAGCAGCTGTTTTTCTCAATAAGAAACTGGACTGAAATATAGGATTCAGTTTGATCAATTTATTTGGGGTTGTGAGGGGAAAATTAATGCATATAACAATATTTCTAAGAATTTATTTCAAAGAGATTTTCCACCTGCTGGTTCATTCCCAAATGGGCCCAGTGGCCCATTTGGCTGCACCTGTTCCAAAGTTAAGCCAGAAGGCAGGAACTCCTATCTGGTCTCCCACATGGGAGGTTGTCACACGCATCCACAGTGCAAGTGGAGTGAACAGTGCAAGATAGGAAACACCTTTTCTGTCTCTATTTTTTTTTGAAACATAGTAAGAAATAAGCATTTGGATATGAAATTATAAAAATAAGGGAAAAGACTATTTGTAATCACCTCCATGGTTCCAATCTACTTGGAAGATACAGTGACAACAGATAAGCTTTAGATCCCCCACCTCACCCCCTGCAGTACACTGGAGGAATGGAACTCAGGAACAGAACTTCCACAGCCCAGCCGGAGCTCTGCAGACCTTGCCGACATGGGATGGGAGCAATAGTTTGGGTTCTGATGCTGCTCTCCCCATGCACCTGTTTCCAACCCTCACTGCTCTCCACAGCAGGACCTTAACCTACACAGATGACTAGCACTACAGAATTTCAATTGTAAAGCTTATTGAATGTTAATACACTGTCGAAATACTTTCAATTAAAAAAAAAACAAAACAAAACCCTCACTGGGGCGAGAAGCCGCGAGTTTTCAAAGTCTATGACGCAAATCCAGTTACGCTGTGATACATTTTTTTCAACAATTTGAACATACTCAAATGCCTATGGACTATTTTGTCTCCCATTTCCTTCCGTGGCTGGGTCATTTTGTAGCTCAATACCATCATGTTCCTTTTATTAGAAAAGAAGCATATTTGGTGTGAAAAGATCTTTATTTCAAAGTCAAAAGCACAAGGTCTCATTCACTCGGGAGGGAACACAGGCTCTCCGTGAACACTCAAGGCCAAGCTGCTGGCCGCACAGAGGGCTGGGAAGGCTGGGGCGGCTGCGGCGTCATTCCTCATTTCCTCATCAATTACTAGTTTCCACTTCCAAGTGAAAAATGCAGCAGCTCCTCCAGAGTCCCCAGCTCCCCAAACCACCCGGAGCTCCTGTTTAGATGCTGCATTTCTATCATTAGAAGACAACCACATGCATAAGAAATGAAACCTTGGCTATGATTTTTTTTTTTTCATAAGGAAATCATGTGAAATAGTTATTTCTGCTCTTTTTATAAATAGGTTAAGACTAAACATTACATTTTGTTTACTGATTATATTTACACACAGTACTCGATGATCAGAACTCACCATTTGCAATACTGTACACGAAACTATAATATAACCCCCTTGTACAAAAAATTACTAAGTTGAGCCAAGATAAAAACTGTCTCTAAAGTTTATATACATTAGAAATAGCAAAACAACAACAAAAATTAAAATCTTCAGGTGCTGAAAACCTAGAAGAATTCTCCAACATCTGCTCTCTTGTCTCGACATTTGCTTCGAGCCTTTGTTCGCGCTTTGAATGCTGCGGAGTTATATAAATGCTGCAATGAAGGAACACATGGGGATCAGTTACGCTTAGGAGGTTTAAAGCAGGGGGAAAAGCGGAAAAAAAAAGCCCTAAAGAAAAAAAAAAAATGAATGTAACCCTACAAATATTTTAAATATCTGTAAAACACATCCACATATACAAATGGAGAAAATCAACATGTAAAGTTAATGGTTATTCCTTAGTAAGTTACTAATTAAATAAGAAAATCCCAGTATGTCAAATTGCATCAGCATTTAATCTCAGAGAAAGATAAATCATAAATAATATGAACTAGTCTAATTTGCATGTCAGTTGAAATAAAAACAAAGTGACCCACACAGGCATAGCAGGCAAAGCCAGCGCCCTTACGCTGGCATCCCACAGAGGCACCAGTTGTCCCACTTCTGACCCAGTTGCTTGCTAAAGCGCCTGGGAAAGCAGTGGGAGACGGTCCACGTACTGGGGGTTCCTGCACCCACATGGGAGAGCAGGAAGAAGCTTCCGACTTCAGCTGCAGCCTGGCCCGGCCCTGCTCATTGCAGCCATTTGGGAGAGAACCAGCGGATGTCAAATAAAACCCGTCTCTCCTCTCTGTGATCCTGCCTCCTGAACAAGTAAAATAATGAATGAAATAAAAAAATAACAAATGAAATAAAGACCAGACCTTGGGTATCATTCTAATACTAACTAAACCAACACATCTAAAACTTCTAAAAGCCACTGCTGTCAAGTATGTATACTTCATGCACGCATGCGCTGCTGCAGGCGACCAAAAGTCATCGGCTAGCTCAGGAAAGGTGTCTTGGGAGCTTGTATGTAAATTCCTAATTTGACCCTGAATCCCACAGGACATTTCTTCAAAGCAATCATTTAAAAGAAAAATGCATGTGGCGATATTAACATTTACTAAAGTTTTCATATTAGTATTTAATAAAGTTCCATTAAAAGTAGCTTATTCCACATCTTATACCCAGGACAGCTGTAATTATAAAACAAGCACTGTTGAGTGTGGAAAAACCAGAGGCCATGTATGCTGTTGGGATGAAGGCAAAATGGTCCGGCACCAACGGAGGAACCCTTTGGCAGTGCTTCAAAAGGATGAAGGGCTGTCCCCCGACCCCGCCACTCCTGGCCTGGCTCTATAACCCCACACACACACAAACTCCTCAGTGAACGGTCAAGGCAGTGCCACTCATGATGGCCAAAACGAGATGGCAGCCCAAATGCCCAGCTGCTGACAAATGAATAAATGTTCACACAATGCAGTACCATTCAGCCACCGACAAGACAGTGGCTCAACCTAGGTAAGGCTATCACTAAGGTCCCGCGGTAGATGACTCATTTATATCAACTATTCCGAACAGCCGATTGGTGGCTGCGTGTGGTGGCAGGCATCAGACAGCAGGAACTGCTAGTTAAGTGCAACAGGGCTGCTACTTCTAAGACTTTAAAAATATTTTGGAACAAAAGGGTGGTGATGGCTGCACCATCTCACTGATGCGTTTGCTGCTCTATTGCATGCACTAAAAGCACCTGCTCTGCGGATTATACCTTGATAGCAACAGGCACATATAATTAAGAATGCATGAAATGTTAAATAAAATCATTTTTATCTTAAATGGGTAAAATTTCTATCCACACCCTCCCCTCCCCCAGTGCAGTTTCTGCACCCTCAGCCCAGCTGCTCTGTATGACGTCATGGAAAAGCGCAACCTCCCATCTAGGCAGACAGAGCTCAACACCCTTCAACAGGCCAAACCAAAGCACTGGGCTGCACTTACTTCTTTCAGAAAGGAAAAGAAAACTTACCCTCTCAAAGCGGGAAATCTTCATCGTTTTGAGCGTTGCGGCATCAAGCATTACCGGGGGTCCGAGTTCAAAGACATTGCGGAGGAATTCATTTGACTGGAATGAATGAAAAAGGTGCAAAGGCTCGGGGTTAGACATGAGTTTTTGGGTTTGTGTGTGTGTTACTACAGCAGAGTGAATCTGATGAGGTTTTGTGGAACCTAAAAACACAGACTCGGCTTACTTGTTTCCGTTGTTTCTCAGAATGCCTCGAACCCAGGAAAGCTGTGCAGCTACTTGTTGTCGTACAAAGACATCAGTAGCATCCCACCCCACTTACATACTAACAAAGAGAAAGGAATCATTTCAGAGCGACTCAATTTTACTTTCAAGAATAAAGTTCACATTTCCTAACAAGTGGAAGCATTTCAGACATACAGCCAGTACGGTAAATGACACTGAGAACTGCCCACTCACCTGCAAGTGGTACTGCATCCCCGATCCCAGAACCTCCTTGAAGGTGTCATAGGTGTGCTTTTTGACCCAGCTATCGATGTACATGCGCTCAGGACCAAATTTAACAGTTTCTGTTGGAAAATCCCGTTCCTAGTCAATGGAAGAAACAAAATCATCACAGGCACCAAGACGGTCCCAGGAGACCTTGGCTGAGCAAAACAAGCTCTAAACAGACACACATCGATATGTGGTTTACACTTAGACAGCCGCTTCCACATCTGCAATGTGGACAGACCACATAAACCTGCCTGGTCGTGCTCAGCTTGAAGGCCCAGCTAAGCAGGAATCAATCACCTGGCATTGCACAGTGGCTTCAAATACTGCCTGGCAGCTTACTGTTCTTTAGTGCTTAGGTTCCACTTTTCCTTACAAAGGAGATAATTTACTGTTTAAAACTACAGTGGAATAAGAAAACTTCATAGTTGCTGGTCTAAGGAGTACACGAGCTTTATCAAAGGTTTGGTATTGGGTCTCGAAAGGCAGAGTGACAGACACACAGGTCTTCCATTCAGTAATTCACTCCCCAGACAGCCACAGCAGCCAGGTTTGGGTGAGGTCAGTCAGGTACGCAGGCACCTGGAGCTGTATCCGGGTCTCCCACAGACGTGGCAAGGGTCCAAGCACTCCAGACATCTTCCACTGCTGTCCAAGGCACATCAGCAGGAAGCTATACTGCAAGTGGAGCAGCCAGGATTTAATCCTGCCTCCAAAAGCTGCAGCTCAGCCTGCTCTACCACAATGCCAGCACCTCAGGAGAGTTTCTGGATAAAAAAGTACCCTTCATGTCAGCTGATTTATCAGTAAACCAAAATACTCTAAAATACCTAGGTTCCTGTGGAAGGGAAGAGCAGAGCCTTGTTTCAGCAGTGCATTCAAGCCAAGGCTGCAGGACAGGGAGTCCAGTGGAAGAGCAGGCAGATATGAGGACAAGATCCTTAGCAAGAGCTGGGAGGGGCATTCAGGACAGGACACGGGCCAGGGCTGAGACAAGAGTTCAGGACAGGAATGGTTCCCCTGCCCCCCCCCGCCCAGGGCAGCCAGGAGCACCTCGGAGGCCTGAGCCTCGGCCCGCTCACCTCCACAGCCCGCAGGACGTCCCGGAACACGGAGCGCTGCTTCCGCTTGTCCACCTTGGCTCGGTGCTTATTTCCATCGGTGGCCAAGGTCCTCAGCATTTGTGTCAAAGACTCCATGTCTTCGTAAAAAAAGTCCTGGTGGAGAAAACAGTTCAGTCCTACTATGAGATTCTTTCCCCCCAAGTCTCTATTGCAGTTATAGCTGAACAGAGCAACAGAAATCTTGAAGCCATTTACAACATTTTGGCTCACAAAGAACATTTATATTTTTGTGCAAAAATTAAACCCAGAGGTGCCGAGTGCACGATGACACACCATCCACAGGACATTCCCCTTCTAAGTATGTCCAGATGCAGTCAACAAATGCCACTTGCTGAATAAAAAACACTTTCACGGTTTCCAAGAACTTTATGGAAAAACAGATACATGGAAACTGACACAGTTCAACTCTTCTGGCTCTCCAATCCAAAAATCACACATTGCCAGATTTCCAATTATTCTTCTTACACCAGGTCACAGTTATTATTAAAGAAATTGAAAACACTGCTCAGTTCTGAATTGCTGACATGTTTCAAATAAGCAATATGGCATTGAAGTCAGGCTCAACACAAGTGGTTAAGATGCTTTAATCTCTTATGGGGAAAACTACAAAATGCGTATCTATTTGCTATGACTTTAAACACTGAAGGCCTTTTTGTCATGGTTAACATAGGCGACCATTTCACTGGTTTTTTCCTCAGGTCTTCTTATTCCCTAGCTATTTCTCACAATCACATTAAAAAACTAAAAGAACTCACATTTAACATAATCAACCAAAACTAGAGTACAAAATGAGTGATCTTCAGTGTTGACTATTCATAGGTTTGTAACATTCTTTGCACCACAGGTTATAATCACTTAACTTATTCTGTTAAAATAAGCAGCTCTTTTTCTAAGCAATCTTTAAACTATGGATATCCCAGAAAGTCTAAATGTGATTGTTTTTTAATGTCTAAAATGAAATGAGAAAAAAATTTTGTCGGTTAAAACAAGCTTGACATTAATGTGATAAATATTCCAGCTTTTAAGTGTTAAGATATTATCACACCATTCAATATTTCAGATTGTATATTAATTGTTCCAGCAAATCTTTAACTTCCAATGTTCTAATTTAGTCTCATGTTGGAATTGACAAAGACTCATTATATTGTTTTATTTACATTTCAATACACTTAATTTCATCAAAATATGGGAAATAAAGAGTTTTGCAGGGGCAGGCACGTGGCCAGTGGGCACAGGTCAGAGTGCCTGGGTGCTAGGCCTGGCCCAGCTCCAGGGCTGAGTCAGGCTAAACATCCTAGTGTACAAGACAGTTCCACATCGACCCCCTTCCAGAGCAAAAATCTACAACCCAAACTAGCCCTGCACTCCAATATAAGCTGATCTTAGTGAAGAATAAAAACGGTCAATTGAGTTCATGGTCTGTGAACCACTGGGGTAAATAAAGCACTAAAACTAGGAAAAATAAATTAACAGTTTTTGAGAACATGTTTCATAAAATGTTTGAGCACTAAAAAGAAAATGTTACACATAGCAACAACAACAAATGCCCACTGACAGCGTCCAAGAAACTACTTATGGGAGTTTAGGATGATTGTACAATAAAGTTGTGTAATATGGGACAAATAAAAAGCAGGCCTCCAGATACCAATAGATTCTAACTCTTACCAATAATCAGAAGAATCATTACTACAATCATTACTACACAGCAGGGTCAAGTAGAGTCTGGAACAGAGTCTGAAATCTACTGCTCACCACACGATAGTTTTTCTTAATACCTATAAAACTACCACCACGATCACATAAGTAAAAAGTTTTACTGAGGAAAAAAAAAATATACTAGATTCTGTCCTGTTGACAGCTCATCTTTGTTCTTGGAGAGGATTTAAGTCCAAGCAAAAATATTCAGATGAATTCTCTTACCTCCTACATATGATTACTATGTCAAAGAACACAGATACAGACAAAAATATGAAATATCAAGATAAACGAAAACAAAATTCAACATGTGCAATTTAAACTTTTAGTACTTTGCTTGTAAGGTACATTTCAAAGGAAAAATGACATTACCACTTCTAGTCAGAAGAAACAAGACTAAAAACTAGGACATCTGGTTTCTGTGCCTGGTTGAGGAATCAGCAGCAGCTCAATAAAATTAAACTGATTACTAAGTGAGCCCAATTTCTCACAGAAGGGCAATGTTAGCCGACTCTATTCTTAAAATCTTGCCAATGAAATGGGCGGGAGGAGGCTAGACAAGGATGCTTCATATACATCAACAGTACAAATCTAAACTTTTCTAAAATGCAAGCCTACACTGGAATGCAAAGGACTAGATATGACAACCAACCTAGACCACTGTATCAACCCTGTCTGGAATCAATCGTTGTCATGCAACTCTAGTAAACGCAAAAAAACTTTTGTTGTGGAAGAATGTTTTTGTCAGGGTGGAAAGCATCAAGTCACTGACCAAAAGTTTAGCTATAGCATATCTTTATTTAGTTTCTCATTTGCTATATATTTGGGATTCTTTATGGATCCCTGGTGTGAAAGCATTAAAACTTGCTCTTCAGTCCTAAACATCAGCACCCCATCCATTATCTATGAGTAGAGTGGATTGAGGTGGGGTGGGGGCAGAGCAAGGCTCCTGTCCCAGTCTACTACCATCTGTGGCTTCGAGAAGTGACAACAGTAACTGATTCATCCCAAACCTGTCCTGACTTCATATTTCATCCATGTGTCACATATTATCATGAGAAGGCAGGTGGCATAAGCCTAACCAGTTTCAGACAAGCAGGTTCCCTAAACCTCTGCTCTATGGTCAGCAACAATTACGTATAATGCACAGTGCTCAAATAGTGTTCCAGCAATTTCTATTGCAGTACGCTCTCAGAAGGTCTAGACCAAAACTGCCAAGAAACAGAGAAATCAACCACAGGTCCTCTAGCTGTACTCTAAAGTTACAGGTCCAGGTTTTCAGCATGAAGGTAACGGTGGAAGAGTGGGCCTCGGGACTTGTTTGCCAATTATATACTTACACTCTCCATCCCTCTGGCCAGTTCAAAGAGGAGTGCTAAGGATTCACCAGCAGCTATCCTCATGTTTACATCATCACAAGAGAGAAGGCTGGGAAGTTTGTGGAAATGCCTAAAAAATAATTAAACATTACTACAGGAATGCAACCAATTATCCCGATTAACCATTGTCTTCATAAAGTAAGAAACAAAATACATACACTTCGAGCTTTTTCTTGACTTCGCTGATGGGACATATGGTCAGTAACAACGTCCATGCAAGGAGCGAGCTGATATGAAGCACCGTGTTGGGGGTGCCACAAATACCATTAGTGTCTTTGTCTTTCAGATAGGACTTGGTGAAGATAGTCTCCAAGCATTCGAGAGTTGAATACAACTCCTAGCGTATAAGAACAGGACATGAGACCACCACCCTAAACCAGAAATGACAATAGGATACTGGCATCAAAGGGCTCTACTTACAGTAATGTCATCTGTGGCAATAAAACAGCAAACACCAAAGCAAGTTGCACACTAAAAAACAAAAAGTCACAGAACACATATAGATGCTATTGTTTATAATCTCATTCCTTATTAATTCTGTATTTCCTGCCTTCATAATTTTAATATGGAGACCTTCCTAGTAACAGCGCTCTAGTAGGCCCCATATAGAGTACTTAACAGAACCTTGTAGTCAAAACAGCCGGGTGTCAACTCAACTCTATCATCAAACTCACAATATGACCTTTGGAAAGTGATTTTGTCTGTTTCTCTTGGGGTATAAAATCAAAGGGAATAAGGTGTACAAACTAATTACTTCATGTCTACATCTATTCCAAATTATTGAGTCATTTTCTTAATCTATGTCAGTAAATCATTCTGAAAGGATGAGTTAACCGCCCCTAATGATGACAACTGCCAGAGATGCCTTCTGGATCATTTCAAACTTCAAATCAGGAATGGAAATGAAACACAAGTGTTTGAGGAGAAGCCCACTTGCTCTTTTGATCTGCCAGGAGCCCGGAACTCCATGCAACCTCCTTATGGGTGTCAGGAACTCTAGAACCTGAGCCATCATCTGCTGTACCCCAGAATGCACATTAGGAACTCTGACATGGATGTGGGGGTCCCAATCACCGAGATTTAAGTCACTGTTCAAGCCAAGGGAGAAGAGGAAGAAGGGAGGAAGGATAAAGGGAATATCATTACGTTCTTATAATTGTATCTACAAGATCACATTGAATCTGCTACAAACTAAAAGTTAAAATTTTTTAAAAAAGGGCCTGGCATGATAGCATAGCGGTTAAAGTTCTCGTCTTGAACACACCGGGATCCCATATGGGCACTGCTTCTAATCCTGGCAGCTCCACTTCCCTTCCAGCTCCCTGCCTGTGGCCTGGGAAAGCAGTCAAGGACGGCCCAAAGCCTTGGGACCCCGCCCTGGTGTGGGAGACCCAGAAGAGGCTCCTGGCTCCAGAATGGCTCAGCTCCAGCTGTTGCGCTCACTTGGGGAGTGAACCATCGGATGGAAGATCTTTCTGTCTCTCCCCTGTGTATCTGCCTTTCCAATAAAAATAAATAAATAATAACATAAAATTAAATTTAAAAAAAAAAGCCACGGCTCCAAACATTCTCCCCTAGGAAACTTTCTGAAGTCTCAGGAAATTGAAAAGAACAGCTGTCATATTACCCTACTCACTAAAAGACAAGCAAAGATTAAAATACGAATAAAAACCCACATGCCTGAGTGATATGCTAGATATACTGCACATCTAAATGTCTTATACTTACAGTTTGCCTGGCCTGGATACTAGCTGTCCCATCACAAATTATTTTCTTCAGGATTGGTCCAAGAGTTTTTAAAATCTCTTCACTTTCGATTCCAGGGCCCAACTGAATGCAAAGCACAGATGCCAACGCCGCAGCCGCCCGTTGCTCGTCGCTCTTCCCTACAAAGGACAAGACGCTACGTTCAGACTGCTTGACTGAAATCGCAATTTCCCAGATTTTCCTTAATTGTAAAAGAGCATCTATGAAACTCTCGCCATTCAGCAGGTTTTGACAATCTAGAAATTAGTGAAAGTAAAGTTACAATTTTAGAAAGAAACAAATCTCACCCCAATCCCATACCCACCACTTCCTAGACAAATGGTGCCCACCAGGCACTCTACCTCCTTTGGGGGAAATGGAGACGAGTCCCTATCAAAGGGAGTAGTACGATGGGTCAACAAAAACCAAACGAACTGCAGAAAGCTCACAGAAAAATGGTATTTCAGTGCCAGCTTATTTTAGTGTAAAAATACTAAAATTCATAAATACCTTTTCATAATACATATTTTCCACATTATGAAAAACACACTTTGCACCAAAACAACATTTTTCTACCTATGAATTTTTTTTTGTTGCCAAGGTCTTTGAATGAATCCTAAGCATTCCAGATGTTCCTGCCAGAAGAGGTAATCCCTCAGGGATTCCCTAACAAAACTTTTCTAAATAATGGATTAAAAGTCAAAGACTTTTTTCAAAATAACAGAAAACCCATTTATATAAATTAACCTTTTTGAGACCTGTATACCTCAAACGGTTTGGGCAAACACAACTCACTACCTGATAAACTATAAACTTACAAAACAGGCAGAGTAGAATGGAATTTTTCAAGATCACCTTGCCTGACTAAAGCAGGCTGTTTCACTGCAGAGCACCTGCTAAGCAATCCCGAAGAGGGTGGGCATTTTGTGGGCATTGTAGGGAAACAGCTGTTAGCATGCTGTCTAGGATGTTCCCATCCTATTTCTGAGGACCCGGTTCAAGTCCCAGTTCCAGCTCTCTAGCTCCCAATTGCAGCTTCTGCTACTTCCCAGCCCCAACCATAGCAGGTGGACGTGAGAACTCAAGTGCCCCATGAGAGATTTCTATCTTTTCCTCTCTTGCTCTACTTTTAAAAAAAGATTTATTTTATTGGAAAGTCATATTTACACAGGAGAAACAGAGAAAGATCTTTTGTTCATTGAATCAGTCGCCACATGGCCACAAAGGCCAGAGCTGAACCAATCTGAAGCCAGAAGCCAGAAGCCTCCTCTGGATCTTCCACGGGGGTGCAGGATCCCTAAGCATTGGGCTGTCCTCGACTGCTTTCTCAGACCACAAGCAGGGAGCCGAATGGAAAGTGGAGCAGCCAGGACACAAACTAGCGCCCAGATGGGATCCCAGCACATGCAAGGCAAGGATTTAGCCACTAGGTTATTATGCCAGGCCCTTTCTCTACCTTTCAAATGAAATCATCTTAAAAGCCACTATACTGCCTCATGAAATTTGGCTTTGCTATCAACAACAGCCTTAGTAAGTTGTGGAAGCCTGAACCTTTATTCTTTCATTCAGGGTTTTGTTCATGACTAAAGTTTCCATCCGCTTTGAGACAACATGAGAATAAACATTGAATTTAAAGAAACATGCATGCTTCCCACATTCCTGATGTTAACTTTCTTGTGTTAATAAAGTAATTATGATAGTAAAAGGTAATTCTCTTCCTAACATTCTGACTAGCAATTAAATACACTGGCAAGATGTGCAGCTTCTTATTTTTGTTCCTTCTTAAAACTGGAAAATCTGGCAACCTTAGACTTAATCTCTCAGGTCTTTCTTTATGCTTCAAAGTTCCATTACCACAGCAACGTAAATTCTAGAATCTTTACTACAAAACTTAGCATTCAAATCCAAGGGATAGTCTGAAAAAGGAATCTATCACAGATGCATGTTTCCAATAAATGCAGGGGAAAATGAGTTAGCTAACTACAGAATTTCTCAATTTTGGAAAAATAAAGAGCATAGCTTTTTCATGTAAAACTTTATGTTGGTATCCAAGACATGCAATAAAGCTCTGGTAACATAAGACGAGAACAGCAGTCAGCTGTTCTGATACAGTGAAGGACGACAATCTACCCGCACTTCTTTCCTGTTTCAACCCGCTGCCAAATAAACGAAGCTCCTGGCCAGTCTTACTCTCAGTTACAACAGCGTGGTGTATCCGTCAGGTGTTGGAGTCACAAGTTAGTGTTCCAGTACCTTCGCACATGCCACTGCAAAGAAGGTAGGAAGGTCCTTCATCACTCTGTAGCAGTGACTCAGCGAGCAAGGCCTTACCTTTCCTCAGACAGCGCTCAACGCTGTCCGTTAGAGTCATTCTTCTCTCCAGAACAAATTCATACAGCATTTTTGAAGCTAGTGCATTTTTAATACCTTCAAGAGCTGCTTGTCTTGTTTTTGCACTGTTCACAACAAAATGTAAGATGGGAAAAGAAACATGTCAGTCTGACTCTTAAAAATAGACCTTATTTCCTTCTAAATGCTTTTCATCAAATTTCTTTAAATTGTCATCAAGTTTTAACCATTTCTCGATATTATTTTTTCATCCACAATTTTCAATTTTTCAATTGCTAAATTGAAAAAGTTTCAGTTTTTACAGCACATAATACACTGTATAATAAGCTTTTGTTTATTAGTTTGAAGGTCACAGCTTTAAACAGCTACATGCTACAGTTTCAAAATCCAAGACAGTTTCTTTACACATTTCTGTAAGTTCACACTGTGAACGCTGCAAAAGGCAGAACCCTGCTACTCTCTTCTGGGCTTTCCAATTCCTGCGGTTTAAGTCAGGTCTAGAGCAACTGCAAAGGAGACAAAGCAGTGTTGCCATTTTCCATGTCCAACGGGAAACAGTCTCCAGCAAAGTGCAGTGGTCATCTTTAGTTCAACAAATCGACTTTAATTACACTCAAACACCGCCGTGTTCATGTCACTAAGTCAGAACTACTGCTAACCAGTAATGCTACCATCCATTTAAAAGTCTAAAGAAATAACAAGCGTTAAAAACCCAAAGTAAATAAAATCAAGCTGAGGGAAGACACATTGCTGCATCAGAAAAACAAAACTAAACAATAACAAAACTGATACGAAGCATGCAAATAGACAATTTTTAACACTTCTTACCTCTTGTCAAGGGTCAGGTCAATTAATCCTTTCAACTTGTACTCTAAGTCTTCCTGAGTTCCCTCCTCATCAAGGACTTCTGGTCCTGACGAATAACACAACCCAATCACCATCATTTAAATAGGAAAAAAGCCTCCACAGAGGGAGTAATGGTATATCTTGGCTACAAGAACTTTTAAGCACTTTTTCATCTAAAAGTTGCAAGTTTAACAGGCATACCATCTTCAGCAACACTGGAAGGATCGCTGTAGCCGCTGCCGTGGCTCATTGTTTCTATGGAAGCATCCTCATCACTGAAAGGCTGAACATGCCGATGCTGACCACCTGTTGGGTAACGAGGAAAGGGACAGAAATCTTGACATGTAACTTACTTCAGAGAAATCCAGGCCCAAAAATTGAAACTTACTTTTTATTTTATTTACTTCTATTTATTTGAAAGAGAACGATCTTGCATCTGCTGATTTACTTTTCAGATAGCCACAAATACCATGATGACGTCAGACTGAAGTCAGGGCTATGACCTCCACCTGAGAATTTCATGCGGTTGACAATGATCCAAGGGCTACGATGCACATTACAAAGATGCTGGATCAGCAATAAAACTGGGGTGACTGGCTCTGTGGCACAATGAACTGGGCCACTGCATGGCATGCTGGCATCCCATATCAGGTCTGGTTAAAGGTCAGATTTACAGAAAGCAGGACAGAGAGATATTTTCCATCTGCTCGCTCACTCCAAGTGGCCACAATGGCCAGAGCTGGGCCAATCAGAAGCCAAGAGAGAAGTTTTTACAGAAAATTTGAACTAAGGAAAAAAGGCTAAATTTTTGATTTGGCACCAATGCCTATCAAAAAGGTGCTAATATAAATAACTTAAAAATACTAATGCATTACTAAAAAAACAATAAAATCATCTTCAAAATTATAATCTTCCTACTTCACTAAGGAAAACTGCATAATCACTTAGGGACTTCTGCATTCATGAAATGACTGCCCACCAAGTTAACTAAGTCCTCAGTTCTGCCCCGACAGTGGCCTCCAGGCCCTATACACTGTAGGGTCCAATTTCTCTCCCCAGTAAAATCAAAGATTGCACCAAATACCAGTAGATCCCCATGTTCATTTTCTACCTTAAGCTTTTCTTTTCTTAATCTCCTAAGTTTCAGGCTGCTATTTTATTTTTTTGTAATGGAAGGTGTCTTTTTCAAAAAATATGTATTAAAGACAGAACTTAGTGTATTTTTATTAACATAGCAAATGCCATTTTTAAATCTGCCCAATGTGAAAGCTGTGACAATCAAAGCAGTAAAGTATTAAAAGTAATGTCAAGATGACAACATTTCCAGGAGTGCTTAGGGCAGAGATAAACAAAGATCTATGACATCATACTCTGTTCCTGGCTCTTTCTTCACTCATTGCCTTATGGGCCGAAGTCACAGCAATAAATGAGTGTCCATCTGACCACTCCCATTAGCATTTCACTCAAATATCAACTCCCATTTTTTTTCCATGGTCAGTCTATCTCGGGGATTCCTTTGCATTCTTAACTCAGGTCTTGTCTAACCAGCTTCGGTGATTTCTTTCTAAGACTCACAGGAAGAGGGGCTTAAGAGAGCCCGGCATGATCTCCTGACACCTGCGTCAGACACATTGTGTTTCTAATCGCCATTAAAGGGGCGGCACTCTAAGGTGTAATTTGTACATGACTCACCAACAGGATGTTGGTTCTTTCTAAAAAATGCTCTTTCAGAGCCAAAGCTGTGGTGCAGCCACCATTTGTTTTTTTTTTTTAAAGATTTATTTTTATTATTTTTTTATTGGAAAGGCGGATATACAGAGAGGAGAGACAGAGAGGAAGATCTTCCATCCGATGATTCACTCCCCAAGTGAGCGCAACGGCCGATACTATGCCGATCCGAAGCCAGGAGCCTCTTCCGGGTCTCCCAACGGGTGCAGGGTCCCAAAGCTTTGGGCTGTCCTCTGCTGCTTTCCCGGGCCACAGGCAGGGAGCTGGAAGGGAAGCAGGGCTGCCGGGATAGAACCGGCGCCCATATGGGATCCTGAGCGTGCAAGGCGAGGACCTTAACCACCTGCGCCACCGCGCCGGGCCCTGCAGCCACCATTTGTAAGAGCAACATTCCATATTCAACCCAGGTTCAAGCCCCACTGCTTCACTTCAGATCCAGCTTGCTCTTACTGTGCCTGGGACGGCAGCAGACAACGGCCCAAGCCTTGGGCCCTGCCACCCACGTGGGAAACAGAGATGGAATTCTTGGCGCCATCCCAGCCCAGACCAGGTGGTCAATGGGCCCAGACCAGGTCAATGCGAGTAAGCCAGGAGTCAGAAGATAGATCTCTGTCACTCTGCCTTTTAAATAAATTAATTAATCTTCTATTTTAAAAAAGCCTTCAAATTACAATAAGTGCTGCGGTACTGTGGCACTGTGACACAGTTAGGTATACCTGGTAAGAACTCAGTTTTACTGGCTTCCTAGACCTATTAACTTTAAAAACAGAGCTTAAATATACCAGAGATAAAGGGAAGCTGGTTATTTGAAAAGCTCATCCCACTCCCGGGGTGGGTGCTGTGCTACAGCGAGTTAAGCACCCTGGACATCCACCCCAGAGGGCCTACTGGTGAGTCCCAACTGCTTCCCACCCAGCTCCCTGCTGCAGTGCCTGGGACAAGCAGATAGCTGAAGTCACCGGGCTCCTGGCCACTTGCATAGGAGGCCCAGATGGAGTTTCCGGCTTCAGCAGAGCCCAGCCATCTCTTCTGGCCATTTGGGCAGTGAAGCAGCAGATGGGAGATGGCTTTTTCTTTGTCTCCCTATATCTCTGCCTTTATATAAACAAACAAATCAAAAAAAAACCCAACCCTTCTTGATGTCATTAAAAACATCAACCAGCGGTGTGTGAGCTAAAGTTTGTAACCATATTGTCTTCTCAACTATTAATTGAATATGTAAAGACTTCACCTGGTGCAACTTGTTAAAGAAGTCAATCCAATGACCACACTTCCCCCATTTCCAAATACAAGGGGCAACCTGTGTAAAGTTCCTACAACAGTCAAAGGACGTATGTTTTTATAAACTAGTAAAAGAACTCGTTCACATCTGCTTATGCATGCTAAACTGGAACGAACCTGAGACAGCAGCAGCCCTTGCTGAGGCGAGGTCAGCGCACTCCACCGGCAGCCAAGGCAGTATAAACATGCATGAGGAAGGCAGGCAGCCTGCCAGAAGCTTCTGATGGGAAACACGTGTTCGTGATTCACAGGTCATTACCAACGATCACGTTTGACATTGATAACTGGCACCTTTATTTTTCCGGTGTACATAGGAATATCATCCTGAGGGTCAACAATCGGCGACTGTGTCCACAAATCTAACAGCCAATCTTAGCTCCGATGCTGTACCATGCCACTATTTAACACCATCATCTCGACGAAAGGAACTACTGCAGTAAATGATTTTCAGCAGTTTACTATTTAATTTGAGCTCTGTAGTGTCTCCCAGTACGCTTTGTAACTTTAGCCAGTAAGGCAGTAGCACACATTCAGTTACGCATACCCAAGCAAAGCATCAGCCAGCCTTCAGCTTTGCAGTCGGGGCATAAGAGCCCCAAACTTCCAGCCAATTGCAACGGGAGCGCCCACCACCCCCACCTAACCGGGCCTCCCAGCAGAGAATGCACGGAATGTAGCACAAAGCAAAACATGTTTGCAGCCCCTGGGGTGTCGGAGATCGCCTCGGCGGGTGGCAGTGGGCCTGAGGACCACCGCAGGTGCCACACCGAAAAGCGAGCTTAGACTAGGGTGGGGTAAGGTCCCCAAGCCGCCAACGCCTCGGCCTGGGCAAGTGGACACGCGGCACACGCGCAAGAAGGCAGCTGGACGCGAAGCCACCCCAAAGCCTCTGCGTCACCCTCGTCCCTCCTGCCCAGGCCGCGTGACGCAAGGGCCCATCCAAACCCGCCGGACGTTTGGCATTCCCGAGAACTCCACGCTGGAGCCCGGGGTGGGGTGTGTCAGACACGAGGAGGGGACAGCATGAGCCCTAATCACGGCTCTGCTCCACTTTTCGCCAAGGGAGAGCTCGCCACAGCCTTTAAGGCCAGCTCCCGTCCCGCCAGCTCCAGGTCACCACGCACACACCCGTGCCCAGGAACCCCACTCCTGCCCACTCCCAAGGCCGGGCGCCCAGTAGTCGGGCTCGCAAGCCAGACCCAAATCTCGCGAGACCAGGACCCCAAAGCACGCTGGGAACCGCAGTTCGCTAGCCCAGCCACGCGCCCTGGAGTCGCAATGTCTGCAGGAGTGAAAGAACTACAACTCCCATCGCTCCCTCAGCCGGGAAGCTCGCCGGGCCGGCCGGCCGGCGACCGAGATGCCGGCGCCAGGGAGACCCGCGTTACCTGCTGTTGCCGCCGTCGCCGCTGCCCCTGAGCCGCCGCCGCCACTGCCACCGCGGTGGGGAGTGTTCCTCTTCTTGTTCTTCGGCATCGTGGGACGCCCGGTGCCGCCTCAAGTCGGAGCTTAGTGAGGATCAGCCGATAGAGCTGCACTTTTTACTGGTGCGTCTGTGCGTCGGGCGGCTGAGAGGCGAGTCTTGGGCTAACAAGAGAGGCGAGAAGCGGCGGGGGTAAGAGTGGGCGGTGGCGGCAGCAGAAATCCCCGTGAAGAGCTGTGATCGGAAACGATACATGTTTCTCTCTAGCGCGGGAGCGAAGGCGGGGCGGGCGAGGCCTCGACGCCTTAAGTAGCAGGACCGTCGGCTGTCGTCATCCGCCGTAGGCGGGACTCGAACACTGGCGAGCCAATCCTCGCACATCTCCCCACCCGAATCCTCCCCGGGAGGCGCGGGCCGCCGAACTACCACTCCCATGCAGCCCGTCGGCTTCCCGCGCTCCCGGGACAAGCCTTCGTGGCCCCACAGCCTTCTGGGAAACGTGGTCCTTGCGGGGGACGAGGGCCGCCCTGCAGCTCCGCTCCGCCCCGCTCCGCCTGCCCGGGTTGACCGGCCCATTCTCTGCCCCTGCCGCGGCGTGGGCTCCCGCCTAGGACTGGGCTGCGTTCGTCACCGGGGATGAGTCACAGGGCGGGCACGGGGGAGTTCCCGAAGGCCGCTTCCATCGTGGGGCCGCGCCGTCCTCGTGGCCGCTCTGGCGAGTCGCACGTTCTTCTTTTGAGTTCTTTGCCTACCTCCCCGCGGCCTAGCAGGGGCTCTACCGGCCCTGGACACGCCCGTGGTTTCGGTGGCTGAGTTACTGCCTGTGATGGAACCCCCTGTACCGCCTGGCCTCCCACTCCCCAGAATGCGGGCTTGTGTCTTAACTAGTTGTGTGGTTCCTGGCTAGCGCCTGTTCTAGTCCAGAAATCTGGTGAATTCGTGTTCTGGGTTTGTGTACAAGAACGCTGTAGCGTTCCACCTGCCAGTTAGGAGGTCGATTTAGGATAAGAGTTTCCGAGAAACAAACAGGAGCTATAAATATCAATCATCGCAGCGGTGTTTGGGGTTTGTTGCTCAGGATGCTTCCAGAGCTCGTCTTCCTTGTTACAACACTTGTCTGTCATGTATTTAGGATCTATTCTTAGGGTGATTGAGCACCTCACCTGAGCTGCCTCCTCCTAGGTCCCACTTGCATCTCAGACCAGCATTCCCACAACAGTTTGCTGTCTTCCTGTCTTCCCTCTGGCTGCTCTCTGTACTGTTATTACCTTCCCATATGTTGACATTCCAACATTCATAGCAGAGTGTGTGTGTGTGTGTGTGTGTGTGTGTGTGTATCTATCTCCCCCTCTCTCCCTCTCCTCTTCCCTGCCTTCTTCCCTCTTTCCACTCACAAATGGTTCCCTTGGAAAGTTTAAGGAATTTCCCATTCTTTTGTCCATGATTCAGGCGAGATAGTGATGCCATATTTATTTAAATAGCCCCCACTTTATTACACAACAGATTTAATATAATTGCTCAGAAAGAGCTATTGTTTCCCATTAACTATTACAAATATTAAGCACCTCGGAGCTAGCACTGGCATCTCACATAAGTGCCATCTGGACGCCTGGCTGCTACACTTCCCATCTGGCTCCGTGCCAGTTGCCTGGGAAAGCAGAGGCTGGCCCAAGAAGCTCCTGACTCCTGGCTTCACACTAGCCCAGCTCCAACCATTGCAGCCATCTGGGGAATAAACCAGCAGACAGAAGATCCCTCTTTGTCTCTTCTTCCTTTTCTCTGTAACTTTGCTTCTGAAATAAATATAGTTTTAGAGTTCGACCTTGGGGCCTGGATGAAGGGAGCTTCTAGCAGCCTGGGGGCTGCTTGGGGTATACAAGTCAGGTCAGTATATGTTAAATGATTGGTTTTTTTGGCCGGGGGTGGGGGATTGTTTTCCCCTACCTTACTTGAGAGAGGGAGGGAGATGTTCCATCTACTGTTTGGCCTCCTAGATGCTCACAGCAGTCGGCCTGGGTCCTGCCGAAGCCAACCTGAGATCCCACGTGGCTTCCAGGGCCTCTGCTCCTGGAGTCATTACTGATGCCTCCCAGGGCTGGCCTCAGCAGGAAACTGGGGTTAGCTGTCTGAACTGGGCGGTGACCCAAACCTAGTCACTCCAGGACTGAATATGAGCATGCCAACCAGCGTCTGCACCGTCATGCCAAATGCCACCCCTGAACGATCCTTTGAGAAATAATTATTGAGCAAGTGTTTCTGGGTCAAGGGAAGGAAGAAACTATACATTAGATGCATGGAGTGTAACCTTCAGGGTAGGGAATTCTGGGAGATACTTTGAGAAAAAGCACCTTCCCATAGTTTTACATCGACCCTGCAGTTCCAGATCAATACAGGTATTGAAAAAATTGGGTCGTGTTGCTCATGGGACAGACGGCTTTCAACTCCACATATTGTTTTGTAGTGTGTTTAAAGAAATGACAAGATGCCAAACACTGAGTCACCAAATGATTACAAATACGAGGAAGAAAGGGGAAGCCCAGGGCCAAGGCAAGGGAGCTTCAGCCTAGCCACGCTTTACTGTTTTAGTCAGGAAAGAATGCCATGGAGGACTCTGCCTCCATCTGCTTGGTCACAACAGTGCCATGTGACAGACCCTCCTCTGCCTGGGGTGATTGTCCTGAGTTCTACAGTTGCCACTCAGATCCCAGAGGGGGTGCTTCCCCCTCTGCGTTCTCAAGCAGCTTCCGTACCCAGCCACCACCGCCACACCTCCCCACTTGAAGTATTCGAGCGCATCTCAACTGCCTGATGCTCTTGTAGTGTAATCATTATTATCTCTCTTCCCTACTCAAATGTTAGAATCATGGGAAGAGATCCGGTCTGTTTTATTCACTGCTATTCATCAGTACCAAAATGGCACATGGCACTTAGCATTCGAGTGATAGTTACTGCTTAAACGCAAGGATAAAAAGTTGAAGAGCACTTCTCTGCCCAGGACATCTTCTTACAAAAATCTCCTCCTCATCCCTTAAGCCACAGATTCTGAGCCTTGCCACATGTCTGATTTAAATTTTACCTTGCCTTCTCCCAAATTCCAGTAATTATACATAGCATCATTTTTTTTAACTATTATTTAAAAGGCAGAGTGACAGAGATGAAGACGAAGAGACCAAGAAATATTCTGTTCTGTGGTTTATGCCCACAAGAACTATGGCTAGGCCAGTCCAGAGCCAAAATCTAGAAACTCCATCTGAGTCTCCCTTTTGGTTGGCAGGGTCCCAAGCACTTCTAGGAATATCAGCAGGAAACAGGATTAGGAGCACGGAATAGGCGGGACTCGAACTCGCACTCCAATGTGGGATGCAGCATCACACTGCGCTCTGTGCCACAACGCCTGCCACTGGACTGTGCTATTTGATTACTTGTCTGTTTCCCCATCAGAAACAAAGTCCGCTAGATAAAGTGCAGTCTGTCTGTTCTGAACCACACTGGGTCTTCCAGTAGCCTTGCAGTACCTTGGCATGTATTAGAAAAGGGATTTAAAGCTTGCAAAGTACAGTCCTACTGTCCCTTCAACACAGAACAATGTACAGATCAGTATGCAGTGGCCGAGGGTAGATAGTACCTATGTGTGCCTAAGGAGGAAGTGTATTCCCTGTGTTTCTGAGCAGGTCTCTTAAAAGTAGAGGACCAAGGGCCCAGTGCGGTGGCCTAGCAGCTAAATTCCTTGCCTTGCAAGTGCTGGGATCCCAGAGGGGCACTGGTTCTGATGCCAGCAGTCCTACTTCCCATCCAGCTCCCTGCTTGTGGCCTGGGAAAGCAGTCAAGGACAGCCCAAAGCCTTGGGACCCCGCCCTGGTGTGGGAGACCCAGAAGAGGCTCCTGGCTCCAGAATGGCTCAGCTCCAGCTGTTGCGCTCACTTGGGGAGTGAACCATCGGACGGAAGATCCTCCTCTCTGTTTCCTTCTCTCTGTGTATCTGCCTTTCCAATAAAAATAAGTAAATCCTAAAAAAAAAAAAAAAAAAGGTAGTGGAGCAAAAGTGGAAGGAAGGGTGAGATTAACCTCCGTGAGGAGTGTGCACTCGCATGAATTCAGGTCATTCTTGCAGCAGCCCAGTGCCAGTTCAGGAAAGAGCAGCCTTACCGCTGTGTAGGTGAAGAAATAGGCTCGTGGAGGGGTTTTGCAACTTCCCTAGAGTCATACCACCAGTAAACAGCAAGTCTGATGAAAACTGAGGCCCCTCTGATTCCACAGTTACCTTTGTCGCATGGGAATCTGGGCGCTAATTCGCAGGAGTCTTGGGTTACCGTTGTGTTCCAGCCAGAAGTGGCCCCTCTGGGCCCCTCCCTGCCTTGATCCCGTTTCTTTCAGCCCCCTTGGCCACTTGTGTCAGTGTGACACATGTTCAGGATTTGCGTGCTGAAGGTTTTCAGCTTTCCATTTTTCCAATAAATATCTTAGACTTTAAAGGAATTGTATTGTCAAATAGTAATGTTATTCAAATTTTTTAAAACTATTGTTACGTTTTCAGTTGTATTATGTAATTTTTTAAATGCAAAACTTGAAATCCCGGTTTAAGAAAGGATAGAGTGGCAAATTTAGTTTAAATCCTTAAACCTCAAAATATATTTTTTTGGCCTTACTTGTATGTGGGAGGCATTTCTTTGTAGTTTTCAGCTTTGAAAATTGCATATTCGTTTTCTAATGAAATTCTGACCAAAAAGCAGCACAAGTCAGATATCTTCTAAAATGACAATTTTTTTTTATGCTACCAGATTACATTATTATCAAAAATATATTTGGACACTGTGTTAGAAGTATATTATGAGGCAGCAGCAATTAGCTGTCCCATATGGATGCCAGTTCAAGACTTGGTTGCTTTACTTCCAATCCAGCTTCATGCTAGTGTGCATGGGAAAGCAGTGAAGAATAGTCTAACTGTATGGGTCCCTATACCCCTATGGGAAACCTGTGCAGTATCTCAGACTCTTAGCTTCAGCTTGGCCCAGCCCTGTCATTGCAACCATTTGGGGAGTGAGCAGGTAGTCACAAGACTCTTTTGGTCTAGGGGCTAAAGTTCTCGCCTTGCATGCACCAGGATCCCATATGGGCACGGGTTCAGGTCCCGACTGCCCCATTTCCCATCTAGCTCCCAGCTTGT